AAGTGATTTGATTTCTACGTAAAAGCATTTGGGTTCATTTTCCATGCTAATAATAGTCTTCCTATGAGGATTCGTTGGGACGGTTGATATAATTGACACCCTGTTTTAGCTATAACTACTTTTTTTTTTTTTCAGGTGGTTATCCGAATTTCGAACAACCAGCAACATCGCCGTGTGAAAACAGATCAGATGTTAATGATGTAGGCGAAAAGAGAATGAAAGTACGTTTTTAACGTTATTTCCTTTCCTTTCGTCGATCTTTTAAGATATTCGATATTCAAGTTTGGGGTATCTTTCTAAAGTTTATTTCTTTTAAGAATAATTTATTTGGTTCAAATATCATTGAAGTTGTTTATTATTTGTTATTTTTGTGAATTACGCTGATTGAAAACTAAGGTATTTTTCTGGTGAATCGACGCTTTTCTTTTAAATTATTTACAGTCGAGTCGGTTGGTATCAAATCACTGTGCACTAACTCCAGTCGTTGTTTTGCAGAAGTCCAGTAGTCGTGGTATTTTTTACCTCTTGTTTAAGAGCTGTTGTTCCATTTGTAAAATTTGGAAATTAAATGCCTTGTCAATCTTAATTGTCAATATCAAAGGGTTACTTGCAGAACGAATTAATGGAGTGGCTGTAAAGAATGTTCAGGTTAATGGTAAAAACGAGCGTTCTTCAAACTGCTTGAACGTATATCCTAGTCCTGGTCCATCTACACACACTGCATCAAATCAAGTCGATTCAAATATGAATGTAAGATTTAGAAGTCTGCTTAAATTTTCGTGTATATACGGTGTTTTGTCATCCTTAGTGTACGTCCTGTTTCGTTTTTGCAGTCATTCGCTAGTATTTAATATCCTTTTTTTTAGCTTTCAACTACTGCTTCAGTTTCTGGGATTTCAAACGGAGGTCTGCTTCATGTCAATGGAAACAGTTAGTACTGTTTTTCAATATGATTCATATCATTAATTATATTTAATCAGGAACATTTATAGTGTTTGCTTACTTTCTTCATGAAAATTTGATTTAAAAAAGGCAGCAAAATGAAGTTTTCTTGTAATGTCAGTATGATAGGCCAGCAGTCTTATGTTACCGCTGAATATTCGGAAAACAGGTATTATATAGTAAAATGAGCTAGGAGTGATTTTACTATAATTGAAAAAGCCTTTTTTTTTTCTCATTTTTTTTTTTGCACGATGCAAGAGTTCTCATAAAATTAAATTTGCAACTGATTTCCATAAAATATTTTTGCAGTCAAAAGAGCAATGAATCCCAAAGTGGGTAATGGACTGTTGTTAACGCCATCTTTAGGAAGCAGTATTCCGGCAGAAGATGTGGTGATGGTGTCACCACGTTCTTCGGAGTATTTGTTGATGTCGGGAAAGCAGCGGTTATCATCAGGAATAGAGTCAGAGCTTGTTCTTAATCCTGATGCAAGTGTAGTGAATGATGACTCACTACCTATTGCTGCTAAACATTTACGATACATTGTCACGTGTCCAACAACTACAGGTTTCTACAATATATTTTGGACATTATCAAGCCAGTAGTATTTTACTGTTTTAGACTAACAGCAGTAATGTATGATATATTAATTGGTATTTCTACTTGTAGTTGAATTAAAATATAGGTAACAGTGAGTCATGAAAAACTTCGTTAGTTTTGCTTTAAACCGCGCTGGCAGTTATTGGAACAGTTACGACTTGCAGTTGGTCATTTATGTGAATACATACGGCAACGAATCAAAGTGGAGTCGCGCACTGAATGGGACAGAAAACATACCGAGAATTGTCTACCAAAAGTATTCCGTTTATTTCTTATTTTAATACAATAATAAGTCCCAAATTCTGAAAATGTGATCGGAGTATAAGCTGAATTGCAGTTGCATGCATATTCTTAAGCTTAAACGTAATATGAAGTATCCTGATCACTTTATTAACCTCTTTATTTTACAGCGCGTTCTACTATGTCCGGTAAAGTCTGATCTGGCTCTGGATGATGTACTGGTGGTAAATGAAACGGGCGAGGGTCAGTTTACAACTTTAAATGTTGGTGAACGGAACACTGATCCGAAATCAGCTTCAGTTTTCACCATCAATTCACCATTTACTGGTAAGTTTACTAGAATTTGTTCTTTTAATTTCATGGTTATCCTTTGGTCTAAATTGTAGATGTGAAAATGATAAACATTTGGAAATGTAAAGCATGAGGAGTCATGGCCATAGATTTATTATGCGTATAAGTTATCGGCTGAAGCTGGTTGGCTTTTATGGTTACTTAGCTTCTTGAATGTCATGCCCAGTAGTTATTTGTAGCAACATATTCATCGTGCCTGATATCATTTTTTGTTGTGGATCGTTATTAAGAAACGAAATTTTTGAAAATAACCGATGTGGTAAAGGCAATAAATTGGAGCTTCTCCCTAAACATGCCACTAAATAGGAACAAGCTGACTTTTCAAATACTGATTATTCAGCTATGAAATAATTAACTTGAAAATTTGTTACTGCTAAGAATTATTCTACAGTTTCGCGATGTCTTAGTTGTTTTTTCCAGCTTTGGATGAATCGATAACAATTGAACAGCTGAAAGCGGAGTATTGGGCGAATAGGAAAAGACCACTGAAGCTTATTTTTAAATTCACTGGGGATTCGTAGCAGAACTTATTGAATGCTTTTTTTTTTCTGCAGACAGTGGTTCAAATGTTTCAAACAAGCGCAGGACATATGCAGAAAAACCATGTTCGGTCTCTCTTTTATAATATATATTTGGACAAGAAGTTCCTGTTATTGATGTTAAAACACATCATTTATATTATCTAATTCAGCATTTATTTGTAAGAGAACTGCTGTGGTTAGCTAAATTGCTGATGTTCCGGTCCTGGCACCGTAAAATTATCGTGTTTTCAATTTCCAAAATCAGAAGTTTGGTCTTGAGCTTGAAGATTTCGGGAAATGCTAACCATAATTGGTTGCCGTTATTGGTGATATTGCATATTCAATCCTCCGTTTCGAATTTCGCTCAATCACTTTAGCAGTTTTGGCTGACAGGGTAGTTTATGAGCACTTGTTAAAACTATTACATGTATCTTATTGTCTGATACACATAGCATATGGCTTATATTGTGTTTGGATTGTCTTCAGCACTTGTGATACTTTACGCCATCCTAGCAGCAGAACCTTAAGAAAAGAGCTAACTAAAGAAGTTTAGAGATCTGCTTTCTTCTATCTTTAAAAAAAAAAGGTCCCTCCGTAATTCATTGTGCATTTTGCGGTTTCCGCGACGCAGTTTTGAAAAGAACCAGAATGGCAGACCGCATCGTAATGACTATTTGGAACGCTTGTAAAATTTTCTAATGCATAAAATTGTAAAAATTTTTCGAATTGTAAATGCTTATAAAATCTGATTGGAATCGTCAAGAAGCTAGGTTTGGCCCCTTATTAGCTCAGGTATCTGTACACAGATGTAGTTCCAGGAGTACCTGTGTTGTTATGTCTTCCCATATTTGGATTAGTTTTATCGTTTATTTTAAAAATAAATGACGTATGTCGATTCTTTGAGCCCCTGAAGCAGCTGCATAGTTCGACACAGTATAAATTCTTGTTATGTTGCTTGATGTCTCGAACCAAAAAGATCTACGTGTCTGCCTATTCATATCTGGTGATTTTAAGAATCGCTGAAAACTCTAACTTCGGGCGCAAACTGCTTACTTGATATTCAATTTTTGCAGTGCCCGTTATTTATGGATGTCCGGTTTCGGTACATAAACTCGAAATAGAAATCCCAGTCAGCTTATTAGGTGCGCGTTCAAGTGTCAGTTCTTGCGGAGTCGACGCATTATATATAGAAGGTCCGGGAATATTGTCGAGTGTAAAGCGCTGTCCAGAAATTCGCTATCTCTGGGAAGGATTCTTCGCTCATGAGGCGGACTTTTGCAGGGTGAATATATAACTTTATTCCACATTTCAAGGGACTTACGAAGTCACGCAATGACACAAGGACGAGTTTCAGCCAGGAAAGTGCAGCAGCATTTCCCTGCTGTGCAAATCCATCTAAACCTATCACGGGGCACAGCCATGGTTGTGCAAGAGTGAGAACACGGGGTCAGAAATAATAGTCAAGTTCAAACACTGTGCCATACTTCGCTCTAAAGTTACCACGAATATGTGACCTTCGGAATCACGCATTAGACATTATTTTATTGTAGATATACCTTCGATTTTAAATACTTTGATCCCTAGTACTTCAGGCATCCTCCACCCATTTATTTAGTTAGATTCCTTACTATGTTTATGTCATTTCGGGGAAATAAACATTGCACCTTTCTCTTACTGGAATGAATCAACGGTTCTAAATCAAGTACCTCTGTTTTTAATTTATAGAGTACAGTCGAGCATCTCTCATATATATTAGGTTACAGTCTAAGCACTGAGTCAATCTTATTTTAAAAAATTCGTATTAAAACAGTTACAAATTATTCACTATGCATAGAAGAATATTGTTCCTCCATCACTAATTAAAACACGCCAACATGAAAAACTGGCAGCATGACAATGGTTTTGGTAACTGAGGTCAATTACAAGAAAATGCAGGAACTATAGTGCAAACTATAACCTTACAGAATACACTACATCCAATAAGTAGTGCACTGAGTTGATATGTCCGAGAAAATTAAGAAATGAAGTTATCATGGGATCAACATCTTGCCAATTTCCGGCGACAGTACTGCAACACCGATTTCCTTCTCAAGCAGGAAAGCGAGAGACATACATCCTGTAGTCTAAGATTCCGTATATACATAAAAATGACGGCTTGGGCCGTCAAATAAAGGGAGTTTTCGATACTGTGTCGAGCACGTCAATAAAATTGCAGAAACACAGGAGAAAACAAAGTCAAATCTAAACAAACAAATTATGCCTTATATGATCAACTACCTTGCATTCGATTTCCCGACTTAAATGTTGCTAGAGACGACCAATATTTCTCAAACGATTAAATTCTGAACTGCATTGAATAATTACACAGAGGTGCAAAACTTGAGAATTTCCGCACCTTATTGGAGTACTTAGCAAAAATTGACAGCCTTCCTAAATAGTAGTTCTCCCACTCACAAATGCTCACGCAGCAGGAAAAAATAGTTACAAGAAATTTAAACCAAAAAATCTGATTTAGTGGATGGGGACATGGGTCATAGATGGAGTGTACAATTATTCAGCTCGACATGAGCATTTAAGCTCGTTCCCCACGGATTCGACGTGCAAGCTGAATATCCTTCGGCATGATGGTAACACGCTTAGCATGGATTGCACACAAGTTTGTGTCTTCGAAAAGTCCCACCAAATAAGCTTCACTTGCTTCCTATAAATTGGTTTAATCTATGTTAACAGAATATACCCACTTAGAATTAGAACTTAGCCAACCAGCAAGTAACGAAACGTAACAGTAAGCCCGCATACTTGTCGCAAAATAACCGTTAAAAGCCAAGAAAGTGACCACAAATGTATTACCTGAAGCGCACCAATTGCAGCAGACTGAAATCGCAGATCGGTTTTAAAGTCTTGTGCGATTTCACGAACTAAACGCTGGAACGGCAATTTGCGAATAAGCAGCTCAGTGGACTTTTGGTAACGACGGATTTCACGAAGTGCAACTGTACCGGGACGGTAACGATGGGGTTTTTTCACACCACCAGTCGACGGTGCTGATTTACGAGCTGCCTGAACAAAACTGATCCTTCCTACTTAAATGAGTATAGTTAAGCCTGTTCTAGAGCATAACCACCAGCAAATTCAAACATGAATTTCAATCTCAAATATTTAATAGGGAATTTTTGATACCTTTAAACAATCCAACTCTCGTACAAGATTTTTTTTTAGAAAGGTACCGATCGATAAAAAAAATTTTAATGATTCAATGTTTCATCAGTAAAATTTCTTTTTTCTTTATCGGAATCGACAATAATGCTTGGAAGTACGCTATGAACGGAGAAAAAATTGTTAGCCCGATGCTAACATTCAGTTCTCAATTCTGATGTCACTAATATGCAACCGTCACTGAAACCACTCCACGACGCGTATAGCACTATGTGCTTCCATCAGAACTTCCATCAAGAAATTTTAAGTGGGGGTTTATATAAAATATAGTAATCCCAACAGATGAACACAAAGCAGTGTGCAACATTCATGTTCAACTCTATTACTGCTAATAAAGAAACCTTAGTGGCAAGCTGTTTTCGGGGAGCTTTACCACCAGTCGATTTACGAGCTGTCTGCTTCGTACGCGCCATCGTCTCGAGTCTTCTCTGCTGTCAAGCGGAACTTTCCAAGTTGAATGAAACTCTACGCCACAAATTTCTCCAAGATCAACTTCTAAAACTCGGGAATGCTATGAGTTTCCTTTTCACTTGTTTTTATAAAATGAAAATCAATGAGCTTTTAGTTGCGCTAATGTATATGTACGAATAGAAATGATCCGTTTGCATTAAAATTAGTCCATTATTATGCTTAGTGTTGAAGAAATAGAACAGATATCCTGCTCATCAGTTCTTCCATGGTGTCAAAATATTCTTGCATCATTTATCTCAATTTTCTTAAACTTGGAACTATCTTATCCTATCCTGATCAAAGGATAGCGAAATGGCATAACGACAAGACCAGTCCGCCATTTCATGAAACAGAAGAGATGATAGAAAGAGACGAATAATCGCACGTAACCTACTAGGTTGCAGAAATGAAACGACTGAAATGCTACCTCGCTGTACACTTCATAGCTAATCATTGCAAGCATCACCACATATACATCAAAAAATACTCATTAAAGGACAACGAACACATAAAGGGGATGAAATACAACTTGAAACGGACCGCTCCGCAGACTGTCCACTCGTAGTACTCACACCCAAACATCTTTTATTAAAACCGATAATTGGCAAATTGCCAAACGACTGAAGCTTGTCCTACTAGAACGGTAGGAGTAAATTAACTTATGAGAGTGGTGCAAAAATATACAGGAACGGAAAACACCAGATCTGTGGGACCCTCGGTGTAGTACAAAGAATGTAAGGCCACTCCACCTGAAGTATCCTTCTGGAGGTCAGAAGCTGGGACAACAGTACGGTGTGACTACACCTTTTCACTCCACCTTTTTCTGAATGACAAGACCGTTGTGCAAATAATTTATTTAGCATCTGAATACCTCGTTTTCGTCTTACGCTACCTCAGGATGCCACTGCAGACAAACTGAGCTTTCTCAACAAGAGCTCGCAAACGATCAGTGACAAGGCCACAACTCACGCAAGTAACGTAACGTAATGAGCGCGACACATCGCAACAGTCCGCCCAATGCATGTGTATATGCGTGACTGTGCGCGCATGTCTTTCCGTACATGTACCTGCCAAAACCATAGCAGGCGATTCCCGCCGTTTTATCATTTGCCAGCAGTGGTTCCATGTCGAGAATTAGAGAACGCTGAGCACGGATATCCCAGTGACACAGCCGCTATTTCCAGATCCAAACATTCAACGCATACACATCGTAATCCCCAACGTCCAGAAAAAACCAGTACAGCGTACTCGCACACCACATCTACAACGTAGTATTCCCTCCGCTCAGAGCGCATCAGGGGCTCCGTTCCGTGCATTTGTGCAAAATAGCCTATCGCTAAATATAGCGGCCTCTTCGAGTGAGGTCGAAATTTGCATGTGCATAGAAGGGCAGGGGAGGGTTCTACATCCTGTGTGATTTGTAGTACCGTGAACTTCAGGAGAAGTGGAGGAACGTACATCCTTTTCTAGTCTGTTCACGTGAATGTTATGAATCCAATTGGTATTAGGGTGAAACAAAGAAACATCCCTTTAGTAGTGCCTTTAGCGTGAGCAGCCACATTAGTGAATTATTTTTGCAAATTGATTCTTTTCTTCTGCCAATATTGAAACATGACGATAACTTCAATCATTAAGCACAAATAACCATCTCCTTTTGTTGTTTGATGTGATAAAGAGTCGGATTTGAGGTGACTTTACGGAAGTTTATTAGCATCTTAAACAAATAAAGGTGGGATATGCGAAATGAAATATATCACCACTTGGAATTTAGCATAAATGACCATCGCATATCTTGGCAATTGGCAATAACCTCGACGTGAGATTGCGTTTCATTTGTTGTCCAATGGTTTCAAGAACTTCACTGAGAAATCAATTATACTTTCATAGTTACTTCCGTACACGACTTCAAAACATGACCTTTTCCCTTCCCTGTGTAAATTAATAGTCTTATTTTCCAGTGATGGATACGCTTATCAAATTAAAAATTGATAAATCGATTTAAGAATGAACTTGAAATATGGAAATTATGGTCTGTTCTAGATTGCATCATCATTTCCTAAGCATCTAATTTTTTTGTTAAATATGCTAGTGCTGCGTCTAAAATCTGTGACGCGAGTCCAAAAAAAAAAAAACAAAAAAAATGCAATGCAAAAAAAAATGAAGAATGCAGCCAAAGTCAAATTTTTCCTATAATTTGAGCTTGTAAAAACATTAGACACAAGAATGATCTGTATAAAATTTCTTCAACTTATTTAACCGTTTTTGCTTAGAAGGCAGATATGGCACAGAGTACGCGAATCAGAAATATTAATCAGGACTTCACGTACTAATGGTCCTCCAACATTTTCTTGACCACGGACCACTCTGGCCTTTTTATTTGTAGTAGAGACCATAGATTCGGAAAAAAAAGAAAAAAAAGACTAGAAGGTAAATTCCGTTAACCCGAAAGTAAACTTTAAGTAAAACTTTTGACGCACTACTTTATCAAATATTAATGAGAAGAGTCCCCCCGCCTGTTTTCTACTCACTGCGCCACCATCCACGCGGACCACATTTTAGTTCTCGCGAACCACCCGGTTGAGAACCACTGATTTAATTACACCGGCTCAATTAACGATAACAACAGCCTACAATAACTTTCTTTAATGATAACAACAGCCTACAATAACTTTCTTTAACGATAACAACAGCCTACAATAACTTTCTTTAATGATAACAACAGCCTACAACAACTTTAACGATAACAACAGCCTACAATAACTTTCTTTAATGATAACAACAGCCTACAATAACTTTCTTTAACGATAACAACAGCCTATAATAACTTCCTTTTCATTTTCAAAGAAGAATTGAGTTATGAAACAAAAACGTGTAGTAGCGAAGTCAACGTAGACCAAAACACCTTCACTTTCCAGTGTTGTATCGCTCTGTAATCAAGTAACCCATAACTTTATACAACATTACTGACATGTTTAAAAGATTTAATTGCGGCGGTAATATCCTCATGGACCAACGTCTTAAGTGCTCGAATGGTTGCAACAATACCAAACTGGTAGTTTGGTATACCAACAATACCAAACTCAATATTTTTTTTTTCGGCATCACTAAGCAGTGAAAATAATTAGGAAAGGTAACGATGAAAACATACAAAACATGATTCCACTCAAAAACGAAAGAGCTCATTTCCATACTATTCTCATTTCCAAAATATATTCTCATTTCCAAAATCTCCCGTAATGGACTAAATATCGGATCAATTTACCGGTCTCGAAAACGTCTGCAGATCGTTTCCTTTCAGCCACATATCTGACAAGAAAAGTAACAAATGGCAATAATATAAATCCTGTAACGACAGCGTAATGTGCTCAATCTACGGTTGGATTCATATTAACGATGCCGCAGAATTTCGATATCTGTAGTTTTCTGATTTTCTGATTCACAGTATGTCGCTATTCGTTTACAGATATCAACTGGCAACGAAGGAAGTCCAAGAGGACAATGCAGGGCCTGGAATTGTCTCCAAACAATCCAATACCTTCATCCCATTTTGTACAGAGACACCTTGACCACCATCTTTCTGTCCATACATGTCCATACATACTACTCCGCACCACTGCTTGATTATCCACCCCCTTAATTATCCACCTGACAAGCAAAGCAGCCCAATCTCCCTAAATCTCACCATCCCAGCAAAGCCTCCCGCCTCCAAAACACTCCATCAAACATCCGTCATCAGTGCATGCAATTAGAGTGTCATGAAAACTGCGATCTCAGCTGAATCTCTTCTACGAACTGTTTGTTTTACACTTTACATCTACAGATTTGATAGATGTTGTTGCTTTTGCATCGATTTGACTGCTTTTCGTTTGATTTTAGATGAGAAATATGTTTAGCTGCAAGTAAATAAGCACAATACAACTGTTTAGGGGACGTGGAGCATCTATAATAAAGGTAAAAATAGGGAAAGTTGTTGAAAACTAAGAAATATAAATTCAGATTTAAGTTTAGTTTAAGTTCTAGGATATGACATCGGAATCGCAGGAACTGCTCCTCCACACTATATTGCATTTGTTATTCACATTGTGCATTGTATATCCACCAGTGGAATTTCAACGTGCAGGCTTTACTATCCAAACATTATTTTCTGGAATATTGGGTGTAGAGCGAGACGATTTTGTTGGATATCATTTGAGGAGGTCCGTATTGACACGTTTTGTACATTTCTGCTCACCATTATGTAAGTCTTCCTTGTTACTTCGAATTCTCTAACTCCTTCAGTGAGATTGCCATGCATGTTTATTCATTCGCGAGCTAGAAATATTTCACCACTTAGTGAATGGTGCTTAATTGGCCTACCTGTTCAGTAGTATTTTCCAGGTGATATTCTTATCTTTCAACAAAACGTCATGGTTAAAGACATGTTTCACGGAACTTTATCCACGGCTGTAGCCACTTATGTCCATATATTTCATTGCATTGTTTATTTGTTTCACTTGCAGTTTACTTCGTCTACTTATCGGTGGTTTTACGAGAAACGGTATTTACTCTTACACCGCAAACCATTTTGCAGTTTGGTGCCTATGCATCTATCATCACCGCTGGAGGTAATGTCTCCTTTCATCGCTAGCATTCTTGTATCTGTGCAGCACTGAATGACTTGACTAACATAAAACATTTTACTTTTCTGAGGATAAAGTATGCGGCATAAGGACTGTATGTGGTAAACAATGGATGAGGTTCAGGATTCCAGCCCAATCCTTTTATCTCGGCTCGATGAGTTAGTATTGATTTCCTGTATATCTTTACTTCTTTATAACCCCAATTCGGTTCCTTATCTTCTGGAGTGACTTTCAGTCGCTGCTTTCATAATGTTGTATCATTGGTGGAAAGGATTTGATGAACATCCGACTGTGCACTGTTTGAAACGCTATCTTGGCAGTAATGGAAGCAGTTGGCATGAAGTGGCTGAATCAATCAACGCAGAGTATCGTAATATGTTGGATACGTTAAACATCACTCTAACAGGTTTGTTTCTAGTTCTTCTACTTATTTGTTTGTTTATGGTGTTTAACGTATCTTCAATACTCTTTATCGGTTTTGTTTAATTGTGTAGACTTATTCAGTGTTTCTTCTATTCAAGTTTCTGAACATACTTTTACTATTTTCCGTTTCAACTCCAATTATCCATTTTAATAAGGACGTGGTTTTTTCTACAGGTATAGATCGTGTCGTGATGACATCTTCTTGGATTTTAAATATTACGAACTACAGATTGACATGTGCTCAAGTGAGCGATGTATCACTGGAAGCCATAAGAGCTGAAGAACATCCGGTATTACTCATTTATTTGTCTTGCTCTCTCTCTTACCTTCATTTACTTCATTCTTGTGCGATTTAGTTCGATCGGATCAAAAAAATTTTGTTTAAGGAGTTCAACATAGTGATACAGAAAGATGTAATGACTTTCCCTTTTATGGGTTGAGTAAGGATGGTTTTTTAATATTTATTTTCGTTTTCTTTATAAGTGAAACCAATCCTGTATGTAGATTTCTCATCATATGCAAGGTGGTGGTTCGGCGCAGTTCATCAGCATATCCGTAAAGAGTACAACACAACGTTTCGAACCATTTGTTATCAGGTGTGTTCATTAGTTTATTCATCTGCAGATTATGTGAAAAACTGCAACTCTCTGTTTTCTCATCTTCTGCTCATTCATCTGTCATCAGTGGTGAAACCGAACGATTTGATGTCTCCATCATCCATATAATTTAACTTCGTTAAACTGTTATTTTCAGAGTACGTACGGATTCATTCCGTGATTTGCGCAACAAACTAGACAAACCTATTGCTATGGCTCGAGAAATAGTCTTGAAGCAATCACTTAATGAGCGTTTTGTTGAAGCGTTCACACAACAAATTGCTTTGAATCCAAAATATGACTATGACGAACCGGAAGTTAGCTTTGATCGTTATAAAAAAATTGATAGTTTAAGTATTTTGTTGGAATCGTGGTAATAGTAAAGAAAATTTTGAGACAGAAGTCAGTATTGGTTGTTATAAAAACGGGAACTGACAAACGATATTCCGATCGAAGTAGTCAGGGATTAACAAATTTTTGGTCGGCTGTTACTGTATTCGACCGCAGTTAACGTTTGAATAGAAGTAATCCTTGCAAAAAGTATTAAATCATTGTTTTAACGATTTTAATGCCCACTCTTCTTTATCCATCATCAGTAGCCATTACGTTAGATAAATGCAGCTGCAGTTTCATATGTTATGCCTCATTTTGCATTTTGATGTGCAGATGTAAACGATCATGGTGATGGATGAAACGAGTATCATTAGTCATAGGAAAAGTGAACTCGTTTAACTCAGTAAATTACCCTTTTTGGAGTAAGCTTAACCTATCAGATACTCAGACCCGAAGGTTGAAGGTTGCTATCTTGAGTCTTCTACCTTGAGATGACGAAACCCGTGAATTGATATGTTTATGATTATTTGAATGATGCTGTTCACTTCAAGGGAAGATGTCTTCTAAGTTTTTAGTTCCCATAAAATTGTTCATTTTACCAAGCTTACGCTCTTTTTCTGATCTATTATTCATCGTTTAATACTTGCGGGACTTCAACTATATCGTTCATTTTTAATTCGTTATTTGTTTTCTGTCTTATTGAACGTTTCAGTCTTCGACATTTCAAAATACGAGTACATTTAGTGGTAGTTTTGTCGGTATTTAAACACTTTCTGATTTGCTTACTGTTACAGTGCATTGTTTTTATAGCGCCTTGAGCCATGTTTGGGTTGTTCTACTGAGCTGTCGAATGTCAAATTATGGAAACGGTGTCTGAATGATGTTCAGGATGATATGGATGCAGAAAGATCTAGATCCCGTTGCACGCAATGCTACTGCAGACCTATGTGGTATACGCTGTAATATTTCTTTGATATTTCTATGCTATTTCATTTGAAAGCCATTTAATCGTTCCAGTTGGTTACCTCTATGCTTCAAAAATTTTGTCATCCTTTTTTGAGTTTTTGAGAAATAAATCTACGTATACAAGTACTTTTGCAGGTGTGACACATGTATGGGATTTATCTTTGCATCAAAGCAAGATCCACATCGTCCGGAATTGTGGATGCCCGGCAAAGCTCAATGCCCAACATGTCGAGCAACATTCTGCGTTCTTGATGTTGCGTTTTTAAATATGATTAGGAATTCATAGAAGGCAAATACGTACCTTGCAGTCAATATGAGCAGTTCGACAGACGGAAAGACGGACCGTCAACAAAGGCTCAACGGTCAGTCCTCAAAGTTATTGAATAATATCCTGAGTCGGTGTTTTTCTTCTCCTAGTGGTTTTGAAAACGAGTACATTTCTGATGGTCAATGCAGTCATTGAAATCACTGGTTGAACCTAAAGGAATTGCCGGTTCCCCATCCCCTGTATAATGCTACTAAATCTTTTCTGGATTCTTATTTCTTTTTTTTTCGCAATTACAATTTGTGTTGTTAAATGGAGCGAGGATAAATCTGTGTTAAGATAGAGAATAATATGCCTATTACCAATAAAGTTGTTATCAATCTGAAAAACATTTTTCTGTAGAACGCATGTATTTTTGGTAACGATTACGTAAGAGACATTGACCTTCGCCACAATCGTTGCAGCGCATCTGTCCATTGTTGTAAGTTGTCTTACATCCAGTAAGACAACTTACGGACGCCGACTCTTCGTTTTCTGGACATTTAATTTCAGGATTGTAGGGAATGTATACTGAACGCATTTGTTGACCATTTCAGTATCGCACAGAGTACTGTCAAAGTTCCTTTGTAGTGTATTCGGAAGTTCTTGAGGTCAAAAGCTCACTAATTCCCTTCCAACTCAAGATCTTAGATTATTGAAGTTAAAATTACCTGATAGGATGATGAAATTTTGTAAATGAAATTAAGGCAATGAGGAGGATATAATCATAATATAGAATTATGTCAGTGTTATAAATCAACTCATGTTGAATACCAACTTTGTTGTGAAAAGTTGCAAGTCAACTCATTTTGTAACCAGCCTCCGGTATTGTAAGGAATTGTGTGATTGTCGAAATATTGTAAGGATAAGGAAATCTTTGTGCCTGATTATAAGGCAACTCATTTTATAAAGGTCTTATGTAAATAAACGCCCACTATATAAAGAGTTAGGGTCATTCAGGGTCCATTCATTGATAAAGTCAATAGCGCTCGTCGATTCATTCAACAGCCATCAAACAGTTCTTTACGTCAAACGCCAACTACATCGTCCTCTACGTTTATCTCAGCTCAACGAAGAACGAACCCTTATATCTCATTTATTATGAAACTTATTAACAAAGCGACAATTAACTATTACGGAAAGGCAACGACAGAGATTTACTAGTTAAGATTGATCGTATGGCTAGTTTATTGAATAGCTCATTTTTGTTAGGTCTTCTTTTTTTTTACTTGCAACTTTGTCGCGTGCTTTATGCATTTTTCTTACTGTTGTTAACTAGTAATACTGAGTGGATACAATACAACCTGAATAAACCTCTATTGCCGACAGTCGAATCAAAAATTGGCTTTCTCGATACTAGGTAAAGTGTATTTTGAGGAGCTTTTTCAGTAATTGTAAATCCACATGTAGCATAGTTTTCTTTTTCCAAAACCCGACGATACTGGATATTCGCACTCAGTGGATCAATAACTAAAACTTCTGGAATTTCCTTGTCACATTCTGTGATCGTTTTTGGAAATTGGAAGTCCTTTTGGTCTCATGGCATTAGATTCCACTCACTGGTGCGCATTTTGCCTGAACAGCTGGAACAAAACTCTGACGTACATATTTTATGGTTACGGTTCTAACATCACAATAGGAAGTAATGGTTGGATGGTACGGTAGGAAGACGAAATATCATTCGAAAATGTCGAAATACGGAAATGGTACAATAAAGCAAGCTGGAATGTGAGGACAGGATTTGAAGGATAAAATGACTGCGAAAGAGCTGGTATCCTTTCAAGAAAATTTACATATTCTTGTGAAAAAAAGCAAAAAAAAAAGGAAAAAAGAATTTTGAGTACTGGAGAGCTTGGCGCAAAAAAAAATGAAAAGACTTATGTAAAACTTTTGTTTTGACCGCACATTTGTTTCCAATCTGCTGATGCTCGGAGCAGTGTAGTGTCGTTCGACTGCCACTCCAATGCCAAGGATTCCCCTTCGCACATGCGATTCGCTCCTTTTCTCGTCTAAAACTAGTATTCCCGAAAGCCTTTCTTCCAGTCCCTAATATAGCGAGTATATTTCTGGATTTATAGATGCCGTATATGGCAATCATTATCAAAACTGAAAAGATTTCTGGGAACCACTTTTTGCTATTTACGTTAAGACTAAACACTTACTGCTGGTGAAGAAATACGAAGGAATTCATCGGCATGTTTACTTCTTCAGCAGTTTTACAAGTTTATAATGAGTCGAAGCAAAGTGTCAGAAGAATTTAATACCTCAGCAGAACGCGGTTTTTTTTGTCCCTTGTATTGATGACTGTCTTCTGGCATTGTTTTTAGGCTGTATTTGCATTCTTAATATAAGCTATAAAGGTTGCATCTTCTACAGCATACAGAAGAGTGTGATTTGCGACCATACCAATAGTTTCGATTTTCCCTAGACTTTGTTATTGTTTGCACCACTTTAATTAAATAAATTTGCTGCTCGTTAAATGATAGAGCTCCAGCTAGCAGAAATTAAAACAGAGGCGAGAGTTATTTAAGGGCTACTGATGGTTAAAAGACCTTTAATCTGAAGTCCTCGAAACCAGAAATATTACATGAGAGATGGAAATGACTGAAATATTTGTTGAAGCTACTTTGTAGCCTTGCACCCCTTATACGTAGAAGAATGTCGATATTGTCTAATGGTCTGATAGTGGTAGAGAGGATGCAGTAAACAATATTTCATCTCTTCCTCTTCAATATTATTTGGAGCCATTTTTGCACTGCAATGATAAGTGTACTTCGTTCGCTAGTTAAATATTTGAATGCTGTAACTGCTCGACATCAACAAGCTTAATTCAAGCTGCAATTATTTCAGAATGCGGTTACCTCTAGGACTGCTTGGGGAAGCTGTGATTCAGCTTCTGATTCATAAAGTGACGCCTAATGTACAAACAGGTTTTGCTGGGATCTAAAAATTATATTTTGCATCTCGAGAAACGGCCTAATTTTCATGCCAGATTTTATGATGATTTGTACTGTAATGATTACTTCTACAGTTACGATGGCAGTTCCAGATTTCTTCACTTTTAAAGATCCGTTGTTCAGCAATGGGTTTTTCTGCAATCATTTCAATATGAACCTAACATCTTGCTGCAAATAGTTCACCTATTTATAATATGCTGTGTCTGTCCAATCAAGTTAAACCTTACAAAAATGTGCTGTGCTATCAAAAGTGATAAGGACATTCGTCCCCACAGAGAGGGATAACCATAGCGACGTCCCCTCCTTGACCCTTGGTGGGGTGAAGTTTGACTTGGTACGATTTCAAGATCGAAAATCACCGCACTTTGTTGGAATTGCCCATGATTCATCGTCCCTGTCCTCCCGGTCCAATCGATTTTCTGCTACTGTCATTATTACTTCCAGAATGCATTGAAGGTAATTTCAATGTTAGTTGTTGTCATGCGTGAAAGGTAGTCGTTCATCCCGATCATTTCAGACTCCTGTTGGAATAAAATGAGATGGGGTGGACTTTTAAAGGAATGCTTATGTACTAAATGTAAACGATTTTGATGAACTCTGCAGTAAATGGAGGCCCGTACAAATAAAAGATTCGTGAGGAGGGTCGGATTTAATTAGTATATTGAGTAAAGTAGGATGGATTGATATTCTCAGGTCTAATTGTTTTGTTTACAGAATTATACGTAATAGTTACTTTATTGTGCTAGTGAAGTGACGTTTCCATTTCATTCTGGCGAAGAGACCATTATGTAGAGACTTCCTAAAGTTATTATGAAGCTACCTGTATTAGAAGTTCCATGTTATGTTAGAAATACTCTTCAGTGCCGACCAGAATTCCATACAGTAGTCTCATATTTCAACTACCATAAAAACAGAGTTGTATATACCGTTACAGATGTCTAACATAATTAATCAAGTTAAATCTGGAAAATCCATCAAAAATCACGTTGTCTTTCTGCAGAGTTTGGTGTTTGAATTTCCTAAATAGTTTGCAAGAAACTTGTATGATTTATATTATACGCATTCACCACTCTTCCAGAAAAGAAAATGCTGGCTAAACCTTGTAATTTAGCGCATTTCTCATATTTGCAGAATCTGTGAAAGTATTTCGCCATTCCAGAACCTGAAGTGACACGTGGATGAGAAGACGTGAGGTGCGAGATGTACGGAAGCACTGATTTGCTTGAAGTTGACGAGAGTTTGTGCCTACTTAGCTCTGATACTATTCATACTGGAGATGATGATGGTTCGTCCTTTTGATTCCATTAAATTTTTGAAAGAAATAACCAATGTTCATAATGGATATACTAATAACATCGATCAAGTAAAGTAGTTTTATAGTAACTTAGCTTTGTATTTAGTCAGCTTGGATTCTTGTATAACATGAATGTAATATTGCTTTATAATGAAATAGATTCCTTCAATTTTTGAATAGAAACATTTGAAAAACTCTGTTCGGTAATAGAAAGTGTGATCTGCTGGACTGTCTTACAATTTATGATAAACTGGAAAATGTCTAATAGCGAAACACAATCTCCAAATAGTTCGACATACAACAAAAATCCGATTATGTATTTGATACACGTATATTATACATATATTAATATATAAATCATTATACACGTATATTAATCATTATATATGATGGATTCAGGTACTGAAAATGTTTACTCTGCAGTGAGCGGTGCATGTTTGTCGTATATGAATGCCTCATTGTATGATATCGTTGTCAGGGCACTTTTTTTTTCATTTATCATTTTTAATTTTTCTGTATTGTCCTCTTACCTACCTTTTATCTGCAATTTCTGTCGATTTTTATAATGGGTAAATGTTTATACTTAGGCACGTATTCGATGTAGCGCTTTCGCATGACTTTAATGACAGTTTCCCAACATCTCATATCGGTCTCAAAATAAAAATTTCTTAATTGGCTCAGCGGTTTTTCATCCTAGCCTCTTTTGAGCAAAATGAAAAATATTCGGGAAACTAAATTTGGCCGGCCGTTAATCTTCGCCGCCTTTAATGCTATTTTTTCGTTTTTAGTTTTTCTTGGAACTGGAATATCATAAGTTCCAGTTTTTATTTTTTTGGGACGTTAATTTTTCTTTCCGAAATGTATGGAGGGAAAGTTTCGAAAAATTGACTTCATGGATTGCTGTGGTTTGTTCATGACACCAACCCTCTTTATTTGGTTTTTTTTTTTTCTAAATTCCATTTGATAGTGGAGGGTATAAATCATGAATAATGAATTCCTCACAACGATATCTCGTTTCCACATTTATCATGAGCAATTAAAAAATCGACAACGCTATTATGTGTAAATTCTAGTCTTTGACTGCATGGTAATGTTTCATTGTTATTGAATTGTCGACTGTTACGTGTATTCCATTAAACTTTAGTCTTTGTCATTATCTTGATCTATAAACATGTTTCACTTGCTCATTTCTGTTTGTCCTGTCAGCCTGACCTTGCTGAAATGTCATTGCTTATTCGCCAAAATATTTTCTGTAATTTTAGTGTCTCTTTTATCATTTTTCCCTTCATATCTGAGCTTCCTTTTATTTCAATTTTATTTATTCTTTCGTGCTTATGGTCGTTGTAACAGTCAACGCAGCTACAAACTGTGGCTTGCTACACTATTTGCTTGACTGACTTCGTTAAGGGGTTGTTGGACATAGCCATTCTGGAGGACTCATTTGTCGAGTATTTATAGAGTATTTAATACAGTACCTCGGAATGACGTCTTACGCGTTTCATTTGACATACGTCTACTGATGTAAGTGAAGTGGTACGAATTGTTTCGTTCTTGTATCTAAGAATCGTAAGTTTTTTTCCATATGGCTGGAGATCATCTTTCTAAAATTGATTAGGTAATGCAATGCGAATGTTTTATTCAAGTTATTTTAGTCGTTTTGTTTACTTTATTCACGTCTTGTTTCTTATTTTTTCAAATATTTTAGTTTACGTGAAACGAGCTTTGTTTTTCCCAAATTACAGATCGAATATTTTCAGTACAAACTTCTTTTTTTTTTTGGTTTTTTCCGAGGATCATCAGTATAGGCCATAGAAATAGTTTTTTTTTTCGGGATTTTTTTTAAAATTTGTTTCCTTCAAGCATCCTTTAAGAATTGATTTTAAATTCATATTTAAAATGAGAAATGATTATTTGTTCATTCATTTCTCATTTCTCAATTGCATTACCCAATGCATTACTCATGAATATTTTGATTGCTGAAAAAAAAGTCAAGTTTATAATTGAATATTTTTAATGAAATGCGACTATTTCCTTATCACGTTTTATGAAGTCTTGTAGTATTTTAGATGCAGCCGTAGAGTTCTGTGTGTTGAGAGCGTTAGGAAAAAAAAAAAGATACCTTGTATGTTGATTGATTTGATCTGCGTGTTGTTTAAATGTCAATCGCTTCTCACTTCTTTTTAGGAAGCATAAATTAAGCTTTCTTATTCCTAGAAAATATAGATTTAGCATTCTCATAAACAAATATTTACAGAGTGCTTAGTGAAGTTAGAATATTTTTAGACAACGAGGCACCTTAAATATGATATAATGGCAGTAGGGAATACAAGTATTTCCTTCCCACGTTTTATGAAGTCTTGCAGTGTTTAAGATGAATTCGTACAAGTTCTTTATGCAAACAGGCTTTTATTTTTGTAGAGAGCAATGGAAAAAAAAGCGCAAATACATGCTCAGGTGCACTTTTGTTTAAGCAGCATTTTACTGTTGTCAATTGTTGCTATTTCAGGCGATCCCCTCACCAAAAACTTTTAAGTTTTCATAAACTTGTAGTTAAATTGATTGTTCAATTTACAAAATAATAGAAATGGGAAGAATAGAGGACAATTTGAAATTGCCGTATTTCGAAAGGACTCTTTTGACTAGAGATATGGTACCACGGGAGAATCGTAAAAAGCTTTTAATATAAGGGAATTTTTCTTTAACATCCTGATACATTAATTTATTAAAATAACTGAATTAGTTGGAGATCGTAATATAACGAATAATTTAATTCTTGCTGAAATATATCTTGTTGATGACATTACAGTTTTGTGTTGTGACAGATTGGTGATTTCAGTCCTTAATTTTTCTTTGTGTGTATCTGTAACGCATGAAATTAAGTATTTTTTTCTATAATAATTGCAGATCCTGACCCGATGTCGAAAGAAAGTGCAAAGAATATTATTCATCCGAACTCCCAAATGCTTAAACGTCTAGTTCAAATACCGGACGTTCCACATTCGGTAAGTTAACGGTAAAGTTTCTCAAGTTGCTCCGAAAACTGCTCTTATATAGCACGTATCTAGAAATACTGAAGAAAATTTCAGATAGGAAAATCAACTGATTTCCAAAAACTTTTTTTTTCTAAATAAAAGTTCACCATTCTCGTTTGAATCTGTGATATTACATCATTGATAGCTAGAACATCATTTCCAGCTGGCAATGATGTAAAAGTTCAATATGTTATTTTGTCTCATTTGAATTTATGTCAGTTGTCAGTGAATAATTTTTATAGGGATTCAGTTTTCGAAAGTTGTGGGCTTTTATGGGTCCTGGATTCCTGATGAGCATAGCCTATTTGGACCCAGGAAACATTGAAAGCGACTTGCAGTCAGGTTCACAAGCTCAGTATCGAGTGAATTTTCTAATGCTTTATTGGGCGATATATTTCATTTAATCACCTCTCCCGACCTCGACCTAAATCTACAAAAAAACAGAATGAGGCGCTTCACATTAATTATCGTAATAGAAAATTATACATTTCTCTATGTTTTAGCTCTTATGGGTTTTGCTATCAGCACATATTATTGGTTTCTTTCTGCAGAGATTATCCGCTCGTCTGGGTGTTGTCAGTGGAAGGCATATGGCAGAAGTAAATAAGTTGTTTTTTGAAAAGGCAACAAAAAGTTTACTAGGAACTATGACTCTATCGCTTTCATTCT